GGGCCATCTTTATTTCTAGGGCAGACAGTGAACTCTGCAGCAAACCACCCTTCCAAACCCAACTTAGGACCAGTTATTTTTTAGCTTTAAAAAATATTAGTTTTTAAAATAGCAAATTTTTAAAATGTTAAACTGAGTATATTTATGGTTCTTATAACCTAACCCCTGACTCACCATGTTCCTTGGGGAAGGCCGACAAACCCAGAATAGAGGTGCAGGATCAGGCAGTGGGCAAGGCTGGATAGCCACTGGCACTGAGTGTTGAGAGGCGTACTTTCGCTGAGCACACTCAGTGGAGGGTATCTGTAGACTTCGCAGTGTCTCCTCCTGTGCTTCAGTATTTTAGAAGCTAAGCTCTTGACTTCTCACCCCTCCTTCTAATTTTAGAAAGGGTAAGGATCCCAATCCTTGAAAATCAAGACACCATTAAAACTGATTCCCTGCTGCTCTCTGTGTTCCTGACCACAAAGTAGCTGTGTGGGAATCTGGGGAAGTCTGGCCCTGGGCTAGACGTCCACACAAGATGTAGGGCCTCTGTTTCCATTTGGGAAGGGGACTCATCGAGAGAGGCCAGCAGCTCCACTTTTCCAAGCCCATTCCTGGTCTCTCTTGTGGCCCTGGGTACAGCTGTTCCTTGCCACTACCCTCTCAGTTCTGGAAGGTGACTAGCAGGCGACTGAAAAGAAGAACTGCTGATTACACCTCACTTGAGTGTGTTACTTCAGATACCTAGAGTGGCCTGAGTAGCCGTGCAAAGCATCCTGAGTAATTGCATATAAATTGCCAAATGGACTATAAGGCTGATTAAGTTTTAGCAACCAGAAAAAAAAGAAGAAAACACACAAGAAGGGGGCCATTTTTGTTTAGAAACATTCCCTCGTTGCATATGGTATCACTTACCTCACGCTAGCTATGGTATATCCCTGTCTGGTTTGGTTTTCAATAGAGTGCAGATGTTTCCCTTAGTTCTGAAATGCCCTGGAGACTCTTCCACAAGATGCACAAGTAGCGCCCAGGAAGCTAGATATAGCCAGGCTCTAGATGCAGTAGGAACATCTGGAAACTGAGAGTGTTTCACAGACGAAGCACTGCTGTGGAATTTCCCTGTGACAGGATCCTACAAGTTTGTTGTGGGAGAAATACCGGGCATTTGTGGGGAGTCATGCAGCTCCCTCTCGGGGTAGAAGGCACTTTAACATCATGTGGTCTCATCATCTCCTCTGTGCCTGAATCCCTTCCAGATAATCTTTGCTGGGATGTTTTTCCAGTGACGGGATTCACCACCTTACAAAGTAGTAGCCTGTTCATGCTTTCCATTGCTCGGACTGATTTAGAGCATTCTTTATACTGAGCAAAATGTGTTTCATTGTGGCTTTTGTCCTCTGGTTCCAGGTGTACCTCTTGGGCCACACAGAACACACTTAAGCCCTTTAGAAACTTGAAGATCTCTGTCATGGCCTCCTGGGTCCTGTCTGATCTAAACTCAATACCCTCTTTTTCTTAACTGTTCCTCCTATGATGTGATGACTGAGCTAGATGAGCAAGCATTGCAACTTGAACTTCATTCACATTGTCTTGCCTGCAAGCAGAAAGGGTCCTTGATTTGCAGGGGTCAGGGTAGTGAGGCTGCTAACTCCCTAGGCTGATCCAGGGGCAGACACCAACTCGGCCAGCCCACCACTCTGGCTCATGCATAATAGCCAGTTATATTTTTCACAAATCTTGTCCACAGGAAATGGGCTTTCTTAGGAGAAGGGAGGAAATACATTTAATCAGCTCAGAAAGCAAGTAATTGGTGGTTAGCATGTTTGTAGCTCCAAGAATGCTGGTGCAAGTCACTGTATCTGGGGACTCAGCCTGACCTCCCTTCATGGAAGTGTTGATTGAGTAAATGACAGTGCCCCTCATGCTGGAGTATTTTGTGGACATTACAAATACATTATTGGAGAATGTCTGACGTGGGAAAACATTCACCGTGGAGTACTGAGTGAAGAAATCAAGACATAAAAAATCCATATGCAACATGACCTTAATTTTCAAAAGAAAATGTCTGTGCCCAAGAGGTGCAAGGGAGTAAGCCGGAATGTGTTCAGTGGTTATCTTGGGGATTACGGGTGGCTTCATCTTCTTTTTTGGAGTGTAAAGATTTTCTGCGTTTCCTACAATGAATGGATCTGAAATCAGAAAAGCAAATAATATAGGTATCTTAAGAAAGTTGATGGTCCAGCTGGGAACACAAGGCACATAAAGCAATAAAAACAACAGCCTGGCCAAGTGTTAAGTGCTGTGGTGAGGCTTGTAAGTGCTGCAGGAGCGCAGAGGGGAGGAGAACCTTATTTCACCTAGTGTTTACCGCATGCCAGGCCCTGAGCTGGCACACAGCCCTAGGGGTGTTGTTGGTTAAGTTGCAGATGGGGCCGCTGAGGCCTAGAGGGTGGAGGCACTGCCAGGAAGTGACAGAGCCAGAGCCAGGATGCTAGCCCAGATCTGTCCAACTTTGAACCTCTGGGTTACACTTGCAGTCCTGGGGGTTTTGTAGAGGCTGTGGGACTTGGCAAGACTTTGGGGAGAGGAAAGGCAGGTGAGAGGCCCATGCTGTCTGTGATGAGTGAAGAGACGGTTTTCAGTGTGGTGAAGGGCAGGGCTCTAACTACAAGGGGCCTTGATAGCCATGCGTGAGGGAAGCCCCAAGGTTTCTGAGCCCTGGGTGTATATGGCAAGGGGTAGAGGAGTGGGTTCCAGTTGTTCCCATCATCAGGCAGAGGCCTTGCACCTTAGACAGCAGGGTGTGGTTGAGAAGGGCACGTGGTATGTGGTCATGCTGGGAGGATGGGCAAATGGAAAACGGAAATGAGCCTGGCAGCAGGCTCAGGATGAGCTAGAAACAAGAGACGGAGTCGGCGAGCCCATCACCTCTTACCACCAGCATCGGGGAGGCCTCTTGCTCCTCCCATCAATTTATTTCTCCACAGGCTTCTGCCATGTGCAGATAGGCTCCCACTGTTCTCCTGTCTGTTTCTGAGACTGTGCCAGCTTGTTCCCATGTGTTGGAGAGAGATGACAGGTGAAGGGGAGTAGACCCTGAGACAGCTGAAAGGCATAAGCTCTAGGAGGAGGTCCTTCTTTACTGGCTTCTGTGAAGCTATCCAGCCAAGCCCCCAGGTCCCTGAACTTCCCCCTTCCTGCTCCTGTCCCAGGATTAACTCTTTATTCCTCAGCCCTGGAAGCCAGCTTTATGTGGGCCTGTGTCCTTGGGTTCCTACCCTGGCTTCCCACACTACTTCTTCATCCCTCCTCTGACATCCCACCCTTTGCCTTTGCCTGTCTTCCCTCCCAGGCTTCAAGGGGAGGTGCTGCCCGGACTGC